CCTTGTATAAAAAGAATACTGTGCTCGGTACTGGTATTTGGATTCATTGGAAAGAGAAACAAACCTGTCACTACGCGTCAAATCACTCTTCCCATCTCCAAATAGACAGTATTTAGGACATATTTCTACTCATCACATTTATACACAAGCATTACCATGCTGCCTTTGATCATTGGTAAAATAAAAAAGTCCTGCATGCCCAGTAAACAGAAAAAACATACTGAGCATGTGCGGCGGTGAAAAAGAATGACAGTTAATCTTGTGAAGGACTAGATTAAATGGTGAGTATTCTGGGAAAAGTTGTCTTTTTTTTTCAATATTTTATTGAATTTTAAAAGAATTGGGTAAGGAGTACAGATGAGAAAGGGATATGCTCTGCATTAGCATAGCAACGCAACAATACTAGGTGCGTTAGTGCTCGTATCCATCCAACGATCAAATATATAATATCCGTTCCTTCTCCTTCTCGGTTGGTTCCTCATATCAACATTTCACCAATATATGAGGAGCCCCAGGCATTGTCTCTTAAGCGTCACTACCTAAGCGTTCCTGTCTCTCTGCGTCCATCCCCTCCTCTGACTATATGGGGTGTATAAACTAGGGAAAACCAGGGAAGGAAGGAGGTTGGTCTACCATCAAAGGAGATATGTGTTTAGGGCTCTGTGTCTATAGGACTTAGCGATTTGAAAGCCTGTTGTCTCCAGGTATCCCATCGGGCCCATGCTGCCCGCCACATCTCCCCCTTAGGTCTTAGGTGTCTTGCTTCTGTCTTGCTTCTGTTTTGTGATATCTATTTCTTTCAAATATTGCCCAATCTCAGACGGGAGTTCCTTTAGCCACGTCCTCCCTATTATTGTCAAGGCTGTCATGATTATATGATACATGACATGTAGAACGGTCTTGGGGAGGCCCCCAGGCAGTACCAGTAGTAAATACATCTCTGGGCAATGTGTAAACTGTTTGCCTGTTACTGCCTTTATCGTGGTAGAGATATCGTTCCAAAACCTCGTTAGCCTTGGGCAAGACCACCAAATATTGATCATAGATCCAGGTTCAGTCCGGCACCTCCAGCACAGATTAGATCTGTCTTGGGCCATGGTATGCAATCTTGTGGGAACCATGTACATCCTATACAACACTTTCCTACTGAGCTCTATATGGGATGCATTGAGAGTAAGATTCTTATGTGCATGGAATATATATGTCCATTGTTCGTCCGATAAGGTTTTGTGTAGGTCCTTTTCCCATGTCCCCAAGAACGATGGTCTCCCTATGTTGTCATATTTCATTATTAGTCGGTAGACTATTGACAACAGGTTAGGGGGACATTTCGGGGCTGAGCACAATTTCTCCAGTTCGGTTAGTAAGGAGTTCGGCTGTGTGGTGTCTCTTTTGATACTCTTTCTTACCCAAGATTACAACTGCATGTGTGAATACTGTGCTGTCACTGGGAGTTTATAGTTTTGGACTATGGAGGCAAAATCTAATATCCGATTCTCTGCTAAAACCTGGAATATATCTTTTGCCCCGTGCTTGTGCCACAACCCATACTCAAAGTCGGGGATAAAGAATTGCACGGCTTGTATCGGCATAGCAGGGGAGATATAAGTATCACTTCGGCATCTTACAAGGGCTCTGTCCCATACTTGAACCGTCGCTGCTATTGTTGGGCTAATAGTGCTAAATTTCGGTCTATGTATTTTAGGTAGCCAAACCAGTGTGGGCAGGGACAGATCCCTTATTTGTGCGGATTCTATAGCGTTCCACTTCCGTGGAGTTTCATCGAAATAAGTAGTTATCAGCGTGCTCATCACGGCCGCCGCATAGTACCTCGCTATATTGGGCAACCCCAATCCAACCTCTCTATATGGTCTATACAAGGTTTTAGCTGCTATCCTAGGTTTCTTCCCTCCCCAGATAAATTCATTAATCACCTGTTGTGATTCCTTAAAAAAGGTGCTTGGTAATCTGATCTGTAGGGTTCTGAAGAGGTATTGCCACCTTGGTAGGACCATCATTTTGACTGTGGCTATTTTACCCATCCACGATAAATACTTGTGCTTCCAATTTTGGAGCTGTTGTTTAGTTGAGTTATGTAGTTTTAAGTAGTTAGCTTTATATAATTGGTTTGCTTGGGAAGTTAGGTTAACCCCTAAGAAAGTTAGGTGTGTTTGTCGCCAATCGTAAGGGTGGGTAGATTTTAATTCTAATAGCTGAGATTTGGTCATGTTGAGGCCCATGGTTTGTGTTTTAGTTGTGTTCAGCTTGTAATAGGAGCAGTTGCTGAATTTTGTTGCAGACCTGTTGCAGTGTGTGGAGTGAAGTTTCTGGTTGAGTCAATGTAAGCATTACATCGTCGGCAAAAAAGGTAATTTTGTGCTCCATCCCTCCTGCTAATACCCCGTGTATATCTTGTGAGTTCCTTATGTGCTGTGCTAAAGGTTCCAGCGCCAGTATGTACAGCAGGGGGGATAACGGGCAACCTTGCCTTAACCCACTGGAAAAGGGAAAGGATTTAGAAGTAAAACCCCCATTGGATATTTTTGCAGTTGGATTACTGTAGAGCGCTGAGACTAGCTCAATGAAGCATTCCGGGAAGGCCAGTTTCCTAAGTACAGATTGTAGGTAGCCCCAGTGCAGTCTGTCAAATGCTTTTTCAGCATCTAATGACATTACCACACCTGGTACTCCCGTTCTCTGTATAGTGTGGAGAATATTAATCAGTTTTTGTCCGGTCCGAACCCTGTTTCCCCCGCACAAACTCCACTTGATCATTATTTATCAACTTGGGTAAAATTGACCCCAATCTGTATTTAAGAGCGAGATGGGGCGTAGATTTTGGCTCCTATTGGGTGGTTTCCCAGGCTTTGGCAGGGTTGTGATATGCACTAAGAGCATGTCTTTGGCGATTGTACCGGAGGTTCGTATGTAGTTGTATAGTTTCTCCAGTTGGGGGATTAGCAAATGTGAAAAAGTTTTACAATAAAGATTGGTAAACCCATCTGGTCCAGGAGATTTCCCCTTGGGGAGTTACTTAATTGTGAGTTCAATTTCTGATCTTGTGATGGGTCCTGCCAGTACTGCTTGGTCTGGGCATGTGATCTGCTGTAGTTGGACTTCACCTAAAAACAGGTCTATTTCTGCTTGGGACGGTTGGTGTGTCTGTTTTAAAAATTATAGAGGCCCTCATAATAGTCCGCTAGTGAATCATTAATCATCTGTGGGTCATACAACCTATTCCCCATGTTCTTAAGAAGATATGGAATCTTTGCGTTTTGTCGTTGGTGCCTTAATGACCTTGCCAGCATTTTCCCCGCTCTATTCCCTTGTACGTACATCGTTTGCTTTAGGTTATGTGCCATAAGGGCTGTTGTTCACAATTGTTTCCTATTTAATTCCTCACGAATGCCCTCGATGTGTTGTTGTGTGGACGGCGTTGGGGCTTTGGTTTGTTTAGAGGTCTCTTCCCTTAGGGATCTCAATAAGTCTTTGTATTCTTGTTTGGAGGTTTTGCTAAGGTAAGATGCCTGACTAATCATGAGACCTCTAATTACTGCTTTATGCGCTTGCCATTGTGTGGTTACTGAGGTGTCTGTGTGCTATTAAGTTCGAAGAAGGTAGTTATTCCCTCTTCCACTTTGGATTTCAGATCCCCATTTAGAAGGAGACTATCCTTCAGACGCCACATAGTCGTCCCCCGCGATGGGAAAGTGTCCTCCAGCGTCAGGTGCACTGGAGCATGGTCTGACCACACTATATTCCCTATCTCACTATGCTTGACTTTTGGTAATAGGTCCCCCGAGATGAAGATAAAGTCTATATGGGTATACATTTTGTGGACTTGGGAGTAGAAGGTAAATTCTCGGCTGTTCGGATGTTGTGCTCGCCACGCGTCATACATATGGTATTCTGACAAGAGTTGTAGCAAGAGATCTGCCTGTTTTCCCACTACTTTTTGCCGGTGTGGCTGTATCACAGCTGTGGTGGCATACATGATTTAAGTCCCCGCACACAATTGTAGACGCCTGCACCGTATCAGGAATTTTAGAGAGCACCTTCTGTAGGAAGTGCCACTGGTGTTCATTAGAGCTGTAAATACCTACCAAGTTATAAAGGGCCTCATTAATTCTACAGCGCACTATAATATATCTACCCTGGGCATCTTTTTTTAAAGATAAGAGCTCATATGATAATGATGAGTGGATTAGTAAGGAGACGCCTCTGGATTTGGAAGCGTGTGTAGAGTGATACTGTATGGGATAGTCTTTAGTGGCAAATTTGGGAACCCTATTATGTGCAAAATGGGTCTCATTGATGCAGAGAATATCTGAGTGTCTGTGCTTGGCATCCTCTAGGAGGAGCCTTCTTTTGTGCGGCGTGTTTAAGCCGCGAGCATTAATAGTATGTATCCTCATACAGTAAACATTGGTGTACTGCCTCTAATTGGTATAGTAGACTCCCGGATTGTCTCATGAAGCGTCAGAGGGACAACCCGGGGGCCCAAGTCTAGGTCCCAGGGGTGCCCCTCCAACTGAATGCCCGAACAGTTTGCCCATGCGTGCCAATTTCTTTCCTCATAGATTCCGCCATGCTCTGCCACGAGGCTATCAGTTTTGCAGACAGATTATCTAGTGCTGATGCCAGATTGGCTTTTGTGATTTGTGTATTGTCGGTAGGGTTTAGCGGTTCATGCCCCAAGGGCCCACCATTAGACTCCATGTCTTCATCGAGGTGTGAGGCCTGTGCAGCCAGGGACGCAGGTATTTGTTTCTGGCTAAAAAAAATTAGCTTTTCCGGTTTCCCGGTGCTCTTTTTGCTCTTGTGATGGGACATTGCTAGTGTACCATGTAGGATGGCTAAGTACCGCTCAGGATTGCTGTAGATTAGGTGCTTGATGCCAGAGCAAGGGAATTATGCGTCCATCTTGCTCCAAAGCCAGCCACGCCCGGAAAAGTTGTCTTGACAAATGAAGTAGAGATTACAGGGCCCTCCGCACCGATATGGATGCTGCCGGCTCAGCACTGAGAGGATGCAAGTTAAACCTGGCCCAATTAACCACCTGGGTTGATGACCTGGACAACAGAAGCCGCAGGCTGAACCTCCGGGTCCGGGGAGTGAAGGAGGGCGGCCTGTTAGAGAACATCCCAAACGTTCTGCGCACGATCTTTAGCTATGTGCTGAGAGGCCAACAGATCACTAGACTGGGTCTAGTTCGAGCCCACCGCACGCTGTGCCCACCCCCCGCACCGAGTGAACAACCCAGGGACATCATCTGCTGCCTGGACAACTTTACCTTGAAGGAGGATATCTTACGCAGAGCACGCCTAATGGGCACCATCCGCATAGAAAACCAAATGATCTCGATATACCAAGACCTTTCCCGCTACACTCTGCAAGCAAGGAAGGCCCTTTCTACCAGTAACGACGGCTCTCCAGGCAGCGGGTATTCCCTATTGCTGGGGATACACCTTCTCCCTGTTCGCACGCAGAGGACAGAAGACACACACCATCAGAGCCCCTGATGATGTACCGGGTTTTCAACGATCCCTGGGGCTCCCACATGCAAATGTGCTGAACTGGCTGGCACCCCAGTTCCTCTTGCAAGCAACAGGACCCCCGCCACCACCACCGGGAAGAGATCAAGGCAGGGAAAGACCCCAGCTACAACGGAACTGGCAAACTGGCCCGACCGGACCTGAGTAATGCAGACACCGACCACACCACGACTAGACACGGAGGCGACATGCCCATGAGATGCCTTGTGAGTACTTTTGCACCACATGGGGACACTGGCTAACGCTGCATATCATAAGGACACCATACTGATGGGGGGGTCTGCTATTGTTGGGGAGGGGGACTGGGACTCTAGCCGCCACCTGGGGACTTGACAGGGACACACTGATTAAATCACCATGGCTAGTCCCTGATGAGGGGACACCAACCCACAGACAGCGAGTACGATGGCACAGTAATGAACTACCCATGAGCTAACATACCCCGGGGAGCCTGTGGGGGGGGGGAAGGGGATGGGGAGAACAAGTGATACCTGAGGAATGTCTACCTACCCACAAGGAGCGTGAAGCCAGGGGCTGATCTGGGGGGAATGAGGTAGGGGGGGACAAGAAATGCGGGATACACTGGGGACAGAGGGCTGGGAGGGGACGCTGCCCCCTGAAACAGCCACGACAGGCTAAGGAAATATAGGGGGGCAACAGGGCGACATCATGTTGCAGGGATAAGAGACACATTACTAGATTGACTACAGACGCACCTCCGCAGCCTCATAACGACCCCCACCCCAGATCCAGGAGGGATGTCCCCCGGCCATGCTCCTCAGGAGCAACATAACCCCCACTGTGAAGAACACCCCCACAGACACAGTGGGCACCAAGACACATGGAGAGAGGGAATGGGAACATGAGGGCACAATTCGGGCGGGGGGGGGAACTTAGGTACCATACCTGCTCTGAGTTACGGGAGGGGTGGCCCTAGAGAGGGGTGGTGGGAGCGAAGGGAGGGGAGCGTCTAGACAGGGGAAGAGGGGGGGCAGACGGGGAGTCAAGATGACCCACCTATCTAACCTTCGGATCAACTATACTAAATCTGAAATTCTGAATCTCACCATTAAACGCTCACAGAAGCAGATGCTCAGACACAGCTTCCCATTCCGCTGGTGTGCAAATCGTTTATGTTACTTGGCTCACAAAGGATCCAGCAGAACCATATACCCACAACTTCGCGCCACTCCTTAAAACCGCATTGGAGGAACTCCACTCCTGGAACTCATATTACCTCTCCTGGAACTCATATTACCTCTCCTGGCTGGGCCGTATAAACTCAGTCAAGATAACCCAACCCCCCAAACTCCTTTTCATTTTCCAAACTGTTCCAATTCTGGCACCGAAGAGCTTTTTCACCACTATCCAAGCGGTTGTCCGCAAATTCATATGGAAAGGCAAATCCCCCTGAATAGCCCATTCCCAACTGACGCTGCCCAAACTAAAAGGCGGCCTAGCCCTCCCAGACTTCAGAAAATACTACCTGGCGGCACACCTCACAAGAATGATCGTGAAATAGTCGGCAAATGCACAAAACAAACTTTGGGTACAACTGGAGGCAGACAGCGCCAACTGCAACCTCGCCGCACTGCCCTGGATCACGAGAGAGGCAAGCAAACGCGTAAACCACACTAACCCATTTGTGAAAGCCACACTTCACATATGGCACCAAAGCGACCCCAAATACTAGCTCACAATGGATCCCAGCCCCCTACTCCACCTAAGGGGTAACACAGACTTTCCTGCGGGAGACCAGAGACCCCTCCCACGCCCGACAAACAGCAACAAGCTACTCCAGATGGCAGATGTACTCATGACCCCATTCGCGGTCTGACCACTGAACGCCCTGTTCCCGGAACAACGGCACACGTTCTTGCACACAATGGCGAGAGAATGAATCTCCCACTATGCACTCTCTATCCCTCAACGTCCATGCCTAACCCGAGACCACACAGAGTTTGAGTCCCTTTGCTTACAAGACACACCGCCACCAAGGGCAAAATCCCTGATCTATACCACACTGGCAACTGGCCGATATCACCTTGCACCAGAGTGCATTAGAAGGTGGGAGGAAGATCTGGATGAAACACTCTCGGACACAGATTGGGACAAAATCATCATACACGTCCAGAAATCCCGGGGTCTGCAAGACTACGGGAAAACACGTATAAAGTGCTCACGAGATGGTACATAACCCCAGCCGCCTTACACGCACGGGACAGCATGACACCGGCAACCTGCTGGCAATGCGGAGAGGAAAGGGGAACTTTTGTTCACTTATGGTGGGACTGCGCCCTCATCCGACCATTTTGGGACAAGATCAATCCAGGAAGTGACAGACAAAGCTCTACAGCAGTCCCCGGCTACCTTCCTACTTCACCACACGACTATACCCATGCCGGCATACAAAAGATCTGTGATCCCCAGACTTCTCAACGCAGCGAAAGCTATCATCCCCATCTATTGGAGACAACCCTGCACTCCCTCAATCGAAAGATGGGTGGAGGAGGTGGAGGATACCAGGAAATTTGAAGACCTGAAGGCAACCACAGTGCACATAAACGAAAAATATACAAAATGCTGGTTCTACTGGCTGAGACACATCTCCTCAAACGAATTCATACAACTGTTAACCACAACCTGAATGACAGGAACGTGAACACAGAACACCCGGGCTGATGCCACTGAGAGAAACCCCGGGGCAGGGGGAACTGGAGTGGTGACTGGCAAAACTGCATCCAGCAGCGACAACACCCTCTCCCCTCCCGCTTTCTCCACCTCCCCTCCCCCTGGCCTTCTTCCCCCCCTCCCACTTGGTGCAGTGCTCTTCCACCTCCCCTCTCCCACTCTCCCACCCTCCCTACCCCTACCTCTGACACGGACCTAGACAGACTGTAGACAAGGGAAGCAGACCTTCCCATAACACACCTACTTTCCATCGTGAAATTGGACACAGAGCCGAGGACGAGTGTCAGCACACGTCCTAACCACATGACATTTCACATACATGTTCCTCAATCACACATCAACCCGCTTAAAAGCAGCTGACCCGACCTACGCCCTAACAGGTGTCTCCTCTGACAACAGGGACCGCCCATACACACCAAACGGCCAAGTAGGCGAACCTGAAACACCGAAGACACACAAGACACACCGCACCACACACATTGAAAGCACCGGCCTCAAGACTAACCGAGACCACAAAAACACAACCTCTACATTGGTCACGATCACAAGAGTTTTGATGTATAAACCTCACGACCCTAAGATGGCCCCTGCGCGGGCACGATACTTCATATAGAATGTTCCTAAAGCAATCCTGATACCCAATCAAGAACTGTTGTACTAACCACTGTATGTTTTACCTTACTCAACCTGATTATGCCTCTGCATAGGCAACAAAAGTACATCCACTCTAAAACTGTATATGCTTGATAATGTGTTTGCACTCGAAATAAAAAACGATTTAACACAAATGAAGTAGAGATTAGTTAAGTTGCACCCTTTGTCAAGAATTGTTAAACGTAGAAAAAATACATAAGACAAAGTAGTTCCTAACTTCTAAACGTATATAAGACAATTAGAAATAGATCAGAAAAGAGGAAAAGAAAAACAGATTATGAAAAAAAAGAAGAGAAGAGGAAATCACTGGAAAATGTGAATTTAAGATGAAAGCTGTTTTCATATGGCAATCTCACATAAGGAAAGCAAATTAGGAAATTGTCTATTAACCACTTAGTGACCAGACCCTTTTTCAATTTTCTTACCGTTAAGACCAGGGCTGTATTTTTTTAATTTCTGCAGTGTTTGTGTTTAGCTGTAATTTTCCTCTTACTCATTTACTGTACCCCCACATATTACATACAGTTTTTCTCACCATTAAATGGTCTTTCTAACGATACCCTTATTTTCATCATATCATATAATTTACTATAAAAAAAATATAAAATATGATGAAACAATTTAAAAAAAAAACACTTTTTCTAAATTTGACCCCCAAAATCTGTAACGCATCTACAGCCGGTAAAAAAACACCCATGCTAAATAGTTTCTACATTTTGTCCTGAGTTTAGAAATACCCAATGTTAACATGTTCATAGCTTTTATTTGCAAATTATAGGGCTACAAGTACAAGTAGGACATTGCTGTTTCAAAATATATATATTTAAAATGTATCAATAGTGACATCGTAACACTGTTATGTGTCATAAATCTTTGAATCACACCTCACATGTTCATATTGTTTTAAAGTAGATAACCCAAGGTTTTTAATATGGAGTGTGGCAAAAGTAACCTCATCACTGGTACTTGGAGGGGCCAGCTTGCCAGCCTCTTGCCCCAGAATTATGGACCCTGCAAAAAGACATGTTAAAAAGTGACTTCCATGGAAAAAGCAAACCACTGAACTGATCTGGGTGATTTTTGGATATGCTGGTCACCCAGATCAAGGCTATCTGAGGATGTGACTCTTGTGGGGTTTCCATGGATCTTGCGGGTACTTTTGGGTTGTTTGTAAATTGTGTGTTTTACTGTACCTGGAGATAATTAATTATCTATCAGACACAGAGGAGGACTATGTTGGATGTATTGCTTGTCTGTGCCTCTTCCCCTCCCCCTTTTTCCTGTCCCATTGTTTCCCCAGCAGGGCGTTGTCCCAGGAACACTGCCAGAAATGTTTAAACTAGCTGCTTTGTCCCTCCTCAATTAAGGAAGAGAAATATTCCTTTCCCTGCTACGGCTAGGAAAGCAGAACTGTACAGATTGCTGCATACACAGACTGATAACGCGGGGGCGGGGGAAGGGTCCAGTGGAACCCAATCTTCGGATCTGAATACGATTCTGTCCTCAGTCCTGACCTCTTTGGGTCGTATTATTGACAAACTAGACAAAATGGATGCAGAGAGCCAGCAAAAGTCGCCGGCTGCTGCAGTGGATCCGGTCGCTTCGGTGCGTTTGGACCCCCTACCGAGTAATTTACAAAATAGTTTGAAAGACCCGCATATTATTAACCCCGCACACATGGTGCCTGCTAAAACAAAAAAGGACATCTTGGAAGGGAAAGATATCAATCTGGTATCACTTCTGATAGCCTCACAACATGTCCTTGAGAATAAGACCTATGCATACGGGGATGTATCAGTGGTATTGAAGTCCAGAGACCCCAGGTTGAATCAGAAGCTATCGATTCCAGAATTTGTACTAGCTTTCGGGATATACAGAGATGTGATATGCTCTGTATACTCGGATAGGAGGGAGGAATTGGACCTGTACCTCCACAAGCTGGTGGATTTGGGGCATAAGTACGGTGGTACGTCTTTTTACGACTACCACCGTGCTTTTTCCGCGAAGGCGTCGGCGGCCCTTTCACAGTTCAATTATCAAGCTGATTGGGGCGTGCTGGATACAGAGCTTTTTTGCCGGCACTTCGCGGGCCTTAAAACCCCAGCTTGTGTCATTTGCTCGTCCAACTCCCACACGGCTAATCTGTGCCCTAATTCTCTAGAGGTAAACACTGTTTTTTCACCTCCTAATGTAGTACCCACAGGGAGACCTGGCAGGGTGCTTAAAGATAAACTAGGCCATGACATAGTGTTCTTGGGTAAATCGCAGGTCTGTAACAATTTCAACACCGGCACTTGCGGTTGCAGTGCCTGCAGACTTCTCCATGTTTGCTCACAATGTTTCAGAGCTCACTGCAAGGCGATGTGCCCCAATAAATTATATCCTAAGCAGTACTTATCGTCTCTTCATGTCTCCCTACTGAAACAGCTTTTATGTGATCACCCTTCACAACATCTCGTTGATTTTTTGGTGGCAGGGTTTACGATGGGGTTTCACACGGGTATTATTCACATGCCTACGGGGATCCTGGAATGTAATAACTTGCAGACAGCCTTAGCAGCGCCCGACACTATTGACCTACTCCTACACAAGGAAATTGACCAAGGTTTCTTGTTAGGCCCTTTCGACTCTCCGCCTTTCGCGGTCTGGAGGACGAACCCCATAGGACTGGTCACTAATAAATCCTCCAATAAACAAAGATTAATTCTCGATCTGTCCGCCCCCCACGCATCTCATACCCCAAGTCTGAACTCACTAATTCCATCTGAGGAGTTTTCCCTCCAGTATGCCAACATAGATAATGCAGTCACGGCCATCCTCTCAGCAGAGGTAGGGGCATGGCTGAGTAAAACTGATATTGTCAAGGCTTTTAAGCTGCTCCCAATCCATCCATCCCTATGGCATTTACATGGTGTTAAGTGGCGAAGCTCATATTACTTTTTCACACGTCTCACGTTTGGTTCTAAAAGCAGCCCCAGCATTTTCGATATCTTCGCTGAGACGTTGTGCTGGATGCTGCTTAACATCTGTAAACGCCCCACAGTTATCCATTACCTGGACGATTTCCTGACCATAGAAAGTAACCTAGTACCTCCCAGTAGCCTCCAGTCAATCACACAACTATTTACACAATTAGGAGTTCCTATTTCACCTACTAAGACTGAAGGTCCAGATACTATCATCAACTTCTTGGGGGTGGTGCTGGACTCTGTGCACATGCAGGCTAGCCTTCCCAGGGAGAAGATTGAGCGCATCCTGGCAGCCATCGACCTTTACCTAGGAGGAGGCTCATGTAATAGGAAGGAGTTGCAATCCTTGTTGGGTTCATTAAATTTCGCTATGAAAATTATTCCACAAGGTAGAGCATTCATTTCAAGGTTACTTAGCCTGTTTCCAATGTTGCAATCTGACACATCCTGCATTACTTTAGACGTACATGCCACCGCTGACCTACATATGTGGAGAGAGTTTTTGTGAAATTGGAACGGGAAAAGCATTTTTATCCCGATTTGGTCAGAGAAGTCGGTATCAGTCTGGACGGATGCCGCAGCCACATCAGGATTTGCCGCAATTTGGGGCAATGAATGGATGTGGGGAGAATGGCCTGGGGAAATTGCTGAGATCCCCAGGTTTAAGGACACTTCAGCCTTATTTGAGCTCTATCCAATCTTAGCGGCAGCAGTTAAGTGGGGAGCAAGCTGGTCTGGGAATATGGTTCGTTGCTTCTCGGACAATATGGCAACATGCCATATTGTAAACAAGGGGCGTTCCTCTTCCCTCACCATCATGCGTTTCATGAGGACTCTCACATGGCTTGCTGCAAAACACAGTTTTCTTTTAACTTGCATTCATGTGCCTGGGGTTCTCAATGTTGCAGCTGATCACTTATCACGATCTCGGTTTCAGGAGTTCCGGGAGGCTCTGCCAACAGCTACCCTGATACCAACTCCAGTTCCAAAGTGGCAGGAGATGGTCTGGGACTAAAAGTACTGCTATGACAAGGGCGACAACTCTCACAGCTCGGTCTCTCCGATAATACCAGGAAGGCATATGGCAGGGCTTTCCATGTTTTCAATAAATTCTTGTTGGACTTCAATGTCACTGACCAGTTTTCTATGGAAACCATTATTGCTTTTATTTCTTTTTGCCACTTTCATCTAACATTATCATTCAATACCATTAAATTGTATATCACAGGCATTCAGCATCACATCCTCACCACTTGGCCTAACAAACAACGCTTTCTGTCGTCCTACCAAGTTAAGGCTATACTTAAAGGCATCAAAGACTCCACCCCTATACCCTCACCAACTAGACTACCCATACATGATCTATTGTTTCAGTCACTGTCAAAACTACTAGACACCTCACCATTTGAAGCCCATACTAATAATGTAATTAAAGCCGCCATCTATTTAGCATTTTACGGTTTTCTACGGCCCAGAGCGTTCACCACTACTAGCTATAACTCACCCATCTTCCTCACAAGGTCCGATCTGGTAAAGGTCCAAGATCACTATCTACTATCCCTGCACCATACCAAAACGAGTGCCACCGGTCAGACGGTCACTATACCCTATTACCCCACAAGTAATACCTGGTGTCCGGTGAAAGTTTTCGACACTCTTCTTGCCTTTGACCATATGGCTCCAACACAACCACTCCTGTCCTTACACGGTAATAAGCTCACTACGAGCCAATTCATGATGTATGTTAGGAGATTGTTAGTCCGGTTAGGACTGAACCCGGCCAGCTACTCTGGTCACTCTTTTAGAATAGGAGCTGCCACTACCGCTTCTATAAAGAATATCCCGGCTCACATTATTAAGATATTAGGACGTTGGAAATCCACGGCATACACCAGATACATCCCTCAGCCCATACAAGAAGTACGCCTGGCTTTCAAAACTATGAATATGTAATCTGTTATGTCCAGTTGTAGGACGAATAAATGGTTAT